GCACCATAAAAAGCCACTGTTGGTAAAACAAAGCTATTCTTGGAGGCACAGGGAAATTCTTTTCAGCTTCATCCCATTCCAGGGAAGCTTTAAAGATTCTGGTAGTTTCCAGCTGCCCTGTGTGAAGAATGAATTTATTTGCTGTGATGGCTAAAATGAAAAATCAAAAGGAATGTTTGGTTAGAGTCACTCTGAAATGGAAATTTTTTTTTTTCTCCATCTCTATGTCTCCCACCCCTCCCCAGTGATCAACCTGAGATGAACCAGTTCCAGTTCATTTCTTTTTGAGGGAAAGAAAAAGGAGCCTTTCAAACACAAGTGTAACATTTCATTTTCAGGGTTATTTAATTTTTTAAAAATACTATTTAGGAATCTTTTTTTTGGATTAAAGTACCAGCAAAGTTCAAGTTCGTGTTCAGAGTTCCATTTCTCAGGGAATTGCCTACTCACAAAAAAATCCTTTTTGTATGGTTTTATCATCCCCTAGTCAACATTAGCTTTTCTGATAGTCGAAGAGATGCTCAGAAATACAATGCAGTATATGGGATTGCTTTTATTTTCAGGCAATACCAGATTCTTATTCCCTCTGATTGCAGTAATATTTGTATGAACAGACCATATCCAAAGTGCTGGGACAAAAGGGGAAAACATGCCAGCTGCATCAGAGAGAGGACATGGGACTTGTGCCATCCTGTTTTAGCAGTGACTGTTTTTATTAAGTCCTTGTGATAAAACAACACAGCCTTCCCTTCCTGACAGAGTGCCAGAATAAAACCTGCTTTGAATCCCGTCAAGCAGCTAAAGATTTTAAGTGCTTTTCAGGTGTAGAGTTTAACTTTCAGATGGTTGGCTGCATGTATAGGTGACCAGTTGCAGGAGGGCTGATATCAAACCACAGCAGATCAGGGATTATGCATTCAAATATGTTTGTCCTGCCACCTTCTCACCTGGAGTCTGCCCACACTGGGGAATATGAAATGAAATACACTGCAAAGTCCAGTTTCCTGAAAAATAATGTAATAAAAAAATACCCTTCATCCCTCCCATTCCAGACAAGATCTGCTATGAGGAGCTGTCCACAGATGACCGGATTGTTTAAAGCAGAGCAAGTCTGGCTTCATGTTGCCATTGCAGAATGGATTAGTGCAGGCCTTTTAGATGTATTCATTCCCTTAAATCACTTAAGGAAAATTAGCTGCCATAAGACCATAAAACCATGTTTTAAATATTGCTGCATAGGAGGATTTTTCTTCTGCTCTGCAGCATGGAAGATAAGCTGTTTCCTTTGAAAAAAGGTTCATTCTGGAGGGAGTAGGACTGACACAGAAGTAAGTGAGGTGTGTATGAGGCAGACATATAATGCCATGACTACAGTGATTCCAGCACTGAGTGTATGCTGTTAGTATAAAAATAAACCAAAGCACCTGTGGTTCACTATTCTTCTGGTTTTTACAAAATGTGCTTGTTTTATTTTTAAAGTGTTTCAAATTCCATAACGAGCATATCGTCCTTAGAAGGGGGTGGATTGGTCAAGAAATGAGAGAATGATAGGAAGCTTTTGATCTCCATGTCACTGATTTTGACACAATCACTCTGATGGTCGCTGTCATTGGCCTACATGAAGTGATTGGATCTTATCAGCTGTTTCTAGTGATGTCAGTCTTGCAGATGAGACTGAAGGGACAGATTTAGTCTTCTAGATCATATGCTGTTGACTGGAGATATTTCTCAAGTACCTTTCCCTGCCCATTTGCCAGTCAGCATTGGCTTCCTGCTGCTCCACCAGATCATATGTGTTGATGGTTTCCCTGTTTATACTGGAGCAGGTTAGCAGGATTAGCTCAGAACATGAATGTATTGTTTAAACCAACACAGCTGACTTCTGTGTGATGTTAAAGCATGTTCATATGAGCCATTCCAACAGCTGAACTGCAGGGCCAGAGATTTCTGCTCGGGCATGATAACACACTTCATGCAGAGAGCTGTTTGGAGTACAAATATCTATAACCTAGGCAAAGAATCTAACAAAGCACAGCTAGATTGAAACATGTGAACAATCTGATTGAATTCAGAAATGTTTCTTGTGTTCTTACGGTTAAGAAGGTGCTTAAATGCTTTGGACTGAGATCAAGTGGTCAGTACTGGCAAGCTCAAGATCTGGATAGTCTACAGAGATCAAACAGTCCCTATCTCTGGGATAACATGAAGCCTTAAAGACAGAGAGAGCAGCATAACTCTTGGTTGTTAGACAGGTTTCATATGACCATCCAGCACTTCTCCCAACAAGCAAACACACTCTTTAAAACAGATTTAATGAGTGAACTTCGGCAGCGTGTTCATCGTCTGATCAGTCCCCTTGAGTATATGCATTGTGATATGGCCTTTAATCATAGGAGCTCATGTTATTCTCCCAGCTAGACCTCTGCCTCACCAAGTTCTCCAAATGGAAAACTTCCACATAATAAGCAGCTATTCAGCATTTTGTTTTAGCTTCAATGTTCATTGTATTGTGCAGCCTTGTCCTATATTTACTCTGCACTGTTCAGATCCTGCTCTGAGGATAGAATTGTTAATCTCCTCATGGACTCTTTTGTTTTGCTCATTGCTATACCCTGGGAGCATTTCAGAAGTGTTGATTATTTTGGGAGGGGACTCCTGTGAGAAAAAATGCATTATCCTTGTGTGGATAGGAAACAGAGAGTTATGATCGGAAGTATCTACCTGTGTGTGATAGGTGATTTAAGATGCCTGGAATCAGATTTGTTTCATGTCATTCACCAAGGATTGATATATTCACTGTCTTGTTTCTACCCCTTCCTTCTGCAAGGAAGATTGGGATAGACTATTTCTGTCATTTGGAGCTCTTAGGGCCTGAAAGACAAGGGTGCTCCTAGGCACTCTCACTGCAATGCTGGTTTGTCTTCTTTCTTCTGTCTGTCTTCTATTCTGCCAGTTTTCCACCTCCTATTGTCACTGAAGTTGGAATCCTACATGCAAATGATTCCTGCTAGATGCTATTCACCTTGTGCTCTGCAATGAAGCCCTAACCAAAAAGAAAAGCAAACAAATAAACCACTCACCTGGGATGTGCTCCTTAATGATCATTTCCTTTGTCATGCACACATAAACTAAAATTTTAATTATTTTGTGTGTAGGCGACTTTTTCTGTATCCATTCTTGACTTTAGAGTGCTTGATGCTGCAGCTTTTGCATACTTTTAATACCATTCTGAGTGAAAGTTTTCATTGATTCAAAGCAAAACATACAGCTGAAATGAAGCCCTAGCGTGCTAAACTCTGAGTCATCTGGGCTGGAACCTTTAGATCCACCACCCAGACATCTGCCACAAGGACTGATGAATTAGCTGATAGAGGATGGCAATCTGCTATTGCTGTGGATAGGCATGAGGGAGGGGAAGAGCCTCTGGGCTTTGGGGGTATCTGCTGACAACAGAATTAGTAATAAGAAAGGATGAGTAAACATAATACTGTGGGCATGGGGGGTGGTATTTGAGGGTAAATGACACTTCTTACATTTTCTAGAAGTTTTTTTTAAAATCCCATGTGCAGAACTAGACTTGACAAATGTATATGTTCCCAGTCTTCCTACCTCTGAGCAGACCTAGCTTTTGATCCAGGTAGGCTTGGGTGGGCAATACAGGGGAATTAACATTTGT